GTCCACCAGAAATTCAAATTAAATTTTTATGAGCGTTTGAAATTTAAATTTTTACAACATTGGATTTTCATTGGATTTCACATTTAGCGATTTTCTTATTTTGGTGTAACTCTAAAACAAATTACCGCAGATACTTGAAATTTTCACTGATTGTTTATATAAGAATTTTCTATATTTGATACAATTTTCAAAATATTTTAAGCTATTTACTGACATTTTAATTTTTCAACTTTTGTATATAACTATCAATAAAAATTTATTTGTTGGGTATAGAAAAGCTTGAAAATTTAAAACAAGACTTCTAACACATTGTTACAATAGCAGTTGAAAAATATTAAAAATACATAGGCACGTTTTTTTTTATAATCATTTAAAGTGCAAATTTTGACTAAATACGTACAAATCACGGCAATGTCCAAATTATCTTAGATAGAAATTTATAAAAGTTTTTTCTTTTTAAATCTATGATTTGAAAATTGAATACAAGGCTCCTAACATATTTTTATAATAGCAGTTGAAAAATAAAATAAATATATTATGGTCATAATTTTTTTTATAAGCATTCAAAGTTTGAATTTTGACAACATACGTAAGAATCACGAAAATTCGTAAATTATTTTATGCTACAAATTCATAGAATCGAAGCACTTTTACTGCCCCAAAACGTGATGACAGATACAAAAAAAAAAAACACATATTATCATGGTAAAATCAATACATCCATCGCTCCACTCAGAATCTAAAATTAATTTACTCAATTTGTATCTTGTGCAGCCGTGCAGGTAACTCAATAAATTTAATTGATGTCAGTGCTTTTAAATCATGTTAAGAAGCAATAATTTTTTTTCATCTTCACCTCGAAGATGGACTATTTTAACGACGAATAATTTGAGTTCAAATGATAATCAAAAACTACTCGTCTTAAAAGTTTGAGTCAAATTTGGTGATGTTGTTATTTTGAATCTGTGAAAGGATTATTTATTAATCATGATAATATTCTTAGTTGTCTGGAAAATAATTAAATAAATGTATTCCGTTTTACCATAACGATCTCAATGATAACTTGAAAACAGAAACATCTCGTCATACATTAGAAGAAATAAGTAGTTTAAAATTTGAATTATATTTTTTAAAGATTATTTAGGCATGTTAWATTATACTTAATGTCTTTTTATAAAGTTTTTACATCTATTTTTTGGATTATSTTGCTGGTCGCGAGAAAATTAAAAACTAAAAACWTTTTTTTAAATACTGTATAAGATATTAACAAAAAAAAGGAACGCCGTGTATAAGAGGGCTCGGCGGCTGCTGCCCCACATGAGCTTGATAAGGTGGAGCTCAGCCCTCCACGGTTCTTAAATTGTA